AATTAAAGATAATTTGGTCAGAAATAGCATCTTACGAACATTTAATCCAGCCGCATATACATCACTGATCCCTGCTCTTTTCAAATTACCAGCTTCAGTTTCACTAGTGCTACCTTGACACATCCATATATGCCATTCTTTTCGCATATTATTTTTGAAAGGTTTATTTATTGATACATCCAATGGTTGGCATATACTAGTTAATTCTGTAGGAATAACAGCTAAATGAAAATTATGCTGTTTAAACTTTTCTTTTACACTTTCTTCCAGATGACCTCAGAAAGAATCATACATTATCATAGCAGGTTCTTATGACAGATTCTCAGTCATACGTAATCTAAGATCCATTTTCTTGAAACCAACAAATGACTCCTTTTGAAATAACTTCACCACAAGGAAGTTGTTTTCCTTTAAAAATACAAATGGGTGGATATTTGGAACCATCTAAATAATAAAATATTTGTTAAATTTAAATAAATATAAATAAAAAGAAATTTAAAAATTCTTACTAGCCGAATAAGTTAAAACTACTGTAAACTGATTTTTATCATTTCCAATAGTACGAATATGCACTGTTTTATCCCCCTTTATTATTAATAGTCATATTGCCTGCTATATCAAACCATATGGGAGTTTCGTCTATATTATAGATGCTATTCAGATCAAAGTTATATTGCTGTCTCTTATACACATCTAGATGTGTATAAGAGACAGGCCATATCAAATCATATGGAAGTTTCATCCATATTATAGATACTATTCAGATCAAAGTTATATTGTATTCTTAATCGTATAATAAAGCGCTTAAATTCTTCCAATTTTGCATCTGTATCTTCAGGTAATTTTTGCGAAATTTTAGTTTTTCTTCTTAGTGATAAATCAAATCTTTTCATAAATGATTGAATCCAAGTAAGGGTTCCTTGAAACTCATTATCTCCCATTGGATATAATTTTTGAATTACAGGCTCTTTAAGAATTTTATGCATTTGTAATTTTACCATTATATAATTAACTGCTAAGCCTTTTTTTCTTTGTTCAATTATCCATTTATATAACTTGTCTTCCGCTTTTAGATAAAAAGCCTTTCTACCAGATCCAATATGTTTCTTTTTTTTATTTTCTTTTTCCCAATCATCACTTTATTTAATCCATCTTCTGATCATTGAAGCATTTAAATCAAAATATCTTGCTGCAGCATTTCTTCCATTTACTAAAGCATATTTAACTACTATCAATTTTTCTTCTATTGAATATGAAGTCCTTTCTCTTACACCAACCTTTTTGTTTATCATTTTTTTAAGAACAAGTATATTCTTTAGACGCGTAAAAAAAATTAAGGGGTAAAAAAAAAAGAATAAGTATATTTTTTAAACGTGTAAAAAAAAAATTAAGGAGTAAAAAAAAATCGTAAAAATAAGCACCCCTATCAATTTTTGTGATCACATGATTGCAAAAAAATGGTGCTTATTTTCATGATTTTACGGTATAGGAGGGAACTATAAAAAGGGGTACATTGAAAGGGGGTACTAATTATGTGATAATAGAATTAAAGTCAATTTTCTGTTAATAAAGTTTATCAGCTATGATTTATAAAGTATATGTATATATAGTACATATAATTTGATTAGTATTGGCTGGGTACGTATCTGAGTTCTGGGATACTATCCAAATCAAATTTTGATTAGTACTGGGGTATTTTCAAAAATACTTAAATGTGAATTTGAATAATACCCCAGTAGGCTGGTACTATTTGAAGAAATGACGATTTACTCTTTTCTAAAAAATAACAATTAACAATATCATTAAAGTTTCCATTTTTTTTTAATTTAGCGATCAATCAGAAATTTTAAAAATTTTTTTATCAATACAGCAGTATAAAAGTTAGAAGCATGAAATTTTGATATTATATCATTTAAAATCTATATTATTACATATTAAAATTTCAAGCACTATTATTTTGAGTAATTAACAAATATAAAAAGACCACTACTTTCATTTAACTAGTATAACAATTATCAAATTTCTTTTTTTAATTAATACAGTTGTATGAAAGTTAGAAGCATAAAAATTTGGTATTATATTTTTAAAAACCTATGTTAGTAACACATATTAAAATTTCAAGTATTTGTTATTATGTGCAATTTTAAGTAATTAACAAAAATAGACTTCTGCCTACTTTTGTCCAAAATTATTCAAATTTCAAAATTCTAATCTTTAATATTTAATTTGAAAAATTTAAAACCTAATTGAACTGTTAAATTTTTGTTAAAAGTTTATTATGTAATTTATTTTAAATAATTTAAACCATTATTAACTAAAAGTGAAAAAAGATGTTATAGAAATTTAAAATAATTAAGGAGAAAATTATAAATAACTACTGTAATTTTTAATAATCCACTTATTATACATATCTGCAAGTAGTTTTCTTTTTTGTAGTATATATATATCTAGTCCGTATAATACTTGAACAATAAATCAAAAAGTGCAACAAAAAAAAAAAAATCTTTAATCTTTTTTGAATTATCAAACTGTAGTACCGAATTTACTTAGCATCACGTGATTACATAATTGACAACTTTTAGTTAAATAATCTGGATTATAAATGTAATGAACGAACCGCATAACTTTTTATAATATATTTAAATGTAAAGAAAATTTTTTTACATTTACCTTTTATGCCACTAAGATTAATATTTTTATCAATTGTGCTTTATAATAACATAAAGCAATATGCGTGATAACAATTAATTTACATCATTTGACGTACGTTAATATATTTATTTCTGTTTTTTTTTACACAAAAAGTTATTTTTATTTTTTATTTTTATTTATTTATTTATTTTATTTATTTTTTCTTTTTTTTTACATTAATAATAAAAAGGTAGAATTATTATTCAATATGGACAACAAGAAGAAAAAAAAAATAAACAAAAAATAGAATAAAATAAAAACAGGGGAGAAGTAAAACATTTACATTGAAGAAAGATGAGAATTCACAATAAGTACAATAAGTACAATAAGTACGGGAAAATGATAAGATCATATAAATAATAAATAAAAGAATATAAAAAACAGGTATCTTTCAAACTTATCAAAAGTCATAATATATAAAAGAAGTTATGTACTAGTAATGTACTGTATATTTATGATACATTGTAAAGGTTGTATATATATATATATACATAAATAAAAATATAACATACGTACTACGGAGTAATATCCTTTTTTCATCATCTAATCTCAAAAAATAACCATTCACTGAATAATACTCAATACCAAATCAAACCCAAAAATGTAAAAGAATAATAAAAAAAATAAAAAAATAAAAAAATGATATAAACATATAAAATAAAAATAAAATGAAGGGTTTGTTGGTATTAAAATAAAAAAGGAAGGATAAATTGAAATGGAGATATCGAAAAAATAATGTTAAAGGCATTGTATTCGGATAGTTTGGATGTTGAGGGAATGAATGTTTGAGATTAGGAAAAGAAATAAGGATAAATAGTCTTAAAAGAAATGAAGAAAGTATATAAAGGTTATAAAAAAAAGAGTAAAAAAGAGTAAAAACATGTGAATATATATAGAGAAAAGAAAACAGTAAAAAAAAAGAGTATGATAATAAAAATATAATAAAAACATAAATTTATTTTTTTTGTTTTTCAAATTTTTTTTTTTTTGTATACAAGTTATATAAATTAAGTTATTCTCGCGCGAACTTTATTGAAAGAAAAAACCGAAGGGAGATACAATCGCCGCAACAATTTTCGTTTTCCTCCAAGAAAGATCACGTGATTAAAAAATTTAGAAGCTTAAAAAAATTGGACGAAGTAAAGCCATAGATGTGTGTTTCTTCCTTATTCGGTATTTACAATTCCTTTTTGCAATTACCAGGGACGATATTTTTTTAAAAAATCTTATTTCGATTTGTAATCGAATATTTTTATTGTTTGTTTTTTAAATAATAAATAAATCCTAGTGTTATTAAATTGTTTTTTGGTTTTTTTTTTGTGTCATTTTTTCGTTCTTTTTTTTTTTAAAAAAAAAACGTTTCGCTGTAGTTTCCATAAATCAAATTCGCAGAATCTTCCTCACGGAAAATACTTGAATTGATCACAAACCGAAATTATCGTCCAGCAAAAAAACATTATCATTTCAACCAAATTTTGATTCAATCCAACCAAACACACATCCAAATATAAAATATCAATCTCAAATTCATCCTTCCTAGAACGATTATTAAAGGGTATGAGAGAACATTAAATAAATAATCAATATTTACTTTTTTTTTTTTTGTTGATTTTAATAGTCCTTTTTTTCTTTCCCTTTTAATAGGGAAGTTTTAAAATCATCAATTCCTTAAGAGTAACTTTTTGAGTCAATCATAAATAAATCAATCCAACAATTTCTTCTCATCAAAAATCCCACCCATTTCTCTCATTCCTAAAGAATTATTAACAAAGGACACCTTTAATAAGGTTCAACTATACCATCAAAATCAATATCAACACCCATTTCTTCAGCTTCTTCAATAAATGCATCTAATATATCATAAGCTTCTCTTCCTAATTTTAAGAAACTCACATTAGCATAAAATTTAGGGAAATTCTCCAAAGTGATTAAATCTAACCAAGCATCATCATCATGATGATATAACCAATGTAAAATAGGTTCAAAAGCTTCAGGATAAGGTATTGGAATAGTTAAAATATTGGAATATTTAGAACGATTCCCTAAAATATTTATAGGACCTAAAAGTTGATTAAAAAATCCTGACTGAGTTGCTAATACTAATGTATGAGCCCAGAAATAATACGTTGATGTTGATGGTGATGATTGTAATTGTTTATTAAAAGTAGGAGATGTTGGAGGGGATGCTGGAGGCGTAACCTGTTGCAAATATTGTTGATTATAATGATGATTTTGTTGCTGTTGCTGTTGCTGCTGCTGCTGTTGTTGTTGTTGTTGTTGCTGCTGTTGCTGTTGCTGTTCTTGTAATAGTTGTTGTTGTTGTTGTTGTTGTTGTTGTTGTGATTGAGATTGATGAATTATATTATAAAGCTGCTGTTGATAATTATATAACATGACATTAAAATGACAAGTTATTTCAGCGGCTTCAGAAGCTGAAATATTTGAATTACTACAATTTATTATTGGTACATTATTTTCATTACCCTTTTCATTATTATTTATGTTAGAATAAGATAAGAAATAATTACAATAATAATCAATTTCAGTCGTCCTGACGACTCTTAATAAAAAATCGGAAGTGTAGTTATTCCTCCAGTGCTGAGGTCCAATCTCGTCTAAATTTTTTAAAAAATAAGCTGTTGGAATCAATTTATTCGTAAAAGGATCTTTATAAAATGCTGGTGTATGATCCGTTTGTTTATATATCGGTAAAATTACTCGTTTACGTTTTGGTGATATTGGTAAACCCATTATTATTTTTTTTTTTATATTATTATTAATAACTGTCGAGAAAAATGTCTTTTTTTTTTTTTTTTTTTCTTTTAAAA